CTTCCAGGAAACAAGATGCAGATTGATCATCGCCAAGGGTTCAAAAGGAGCTCTTGTACGCGCCTATAAGGCCATGGAAAGACTCCATGTAGGCATCACTGGTCTGACTGTTGGGTTAAGGTTATAAAGTCCCTTGAGGAATCTCTTTATAAGTAGTTGAGAGAAAATGGATGAACCTCGAACTGTGCCATGGTAATAGGAAATTGCTACCACGTAAACTTTTATAGAAGACAGCTTCAGTCCAGAATGGTGAAGTTCTAATAGGAATTGAAGGATTTGATCTATAGATGCTGAGAGTGGAAGGAATGCGCGAGACTCGGCAAAGGTAGAAAATCGTCGCCATTTAGCTGCATATGACTTCCGTGTTGACGGCTTTAACGCAGAATCAAGAATGTGCTGAATGTCTGGATGAAAAATTGTCGAATCTGACTGAACGTTCATTGGATCCGATGACTCAGGAAAGACGAATGGATTCAAAGCGTGTAGCAACGTGTTGGATCCGGGGACAGGATCCGAATCACGAGTAGATGCCATCGGTACCGAGTCAGTGTCAACTGTTATTGGATTCTCCAGACTGTCAATTTCAATGACATTAAATCTGGATGGCGAATCGTGCCTTCTCGCTGGGTAATGAGATACAGAATGAGTGGAAGATGAAGATATTCTTCTTGAGAGATGTGAAGTGTAGAAAACCAGGCTTGGTGTGGCCACCAAGGGATGATCAGCAGTCCTGTGGCCCCGTCATGAATTATCTTCGATATCACTCTCATAATGAGGGGGATTGGAGGGAAAGCGTAAATTTTCTGATTGTTCCAAGGGATCATAAAGGCATCCCCTAATGATCCGTGTGCAATTCCCGCTCTCGAGCAAAAAGTCTCGCATACCCTGCTCTGTCGGGTGGCAAATAAGTCTATTTCTGGGAAACCCCAGCGATGGAAAGGGTGGTCGCATGTCTGGACGTCTAGTTCCCATTCGTGAGATGCAGACATGTGTCTGCTCAGAAGATTGGCTTCCACATTGTCCGTACCGGCAAGGTGTACTGCCACCAGAGTAAAGTCTCTCGGGATGCACCATTCCCAGATTTGCATCGATAGTCTGGCCAAAGTCGGCGACTTCGTCCCTCCTTGTTTCTTCAGATAAAAGACTGTGGCGATGTTGTCTGAGGTTATCTGAACTACTCGGTCCCAAAGAATGTCCTCGAACGAGCGTTGAGCTTTGAATACAGCCAGAAGTTCTAGGAAATTGATATGATTCCTGGATTCTTGTCGATTCCATACGCCCTGAGTCCGTAGGTCGGAGCACACTGCTCCCCATCCCAGCAGCGATGCATCGATACCGAGAGATATCGAAGGGCATCGGGGCCGGAAAGGCACCCCCACATTGAGATTGGTCGAAATTGTCCACAACAGTAGAGAGTGAAGGACAGAAGATGGGATCCGAAGTAATTTCGTCGGAACGTCGCTTTGTGGCCAGAACACTTTGTTGAAAAAGAGTTGGAGAGAACGGAGACGAAGTCTGGCATGTGGGACAATGGCAACTGACACAGCCATATGTCCCAAGAGTCTCTGTATGGACCGGGCAGGAATGGTCCTGTCTCATAGGATCAAATGGATGTGCTGAGCAAGAGCTTGCTGTCGGTCCTGTGGAAGGAATGCTCCTGCCATCATGGAGTCCAGGCTAGCTCCGATGAACGTGACGATCTGTGTAGGAACAAGAGAAGATTTCTCATTGTTAATACCAAGTCTAAGATTTTGCAGTAGGGAAAAGGTTGTCTGTATCGCAGCAATAAGTCCTTGTCTGGTTTGGGAGACTAGCAACCAATCGTCAAGATAAGGGTAAATCTGGACTCCTCACAGTCATAGAAACGCACAGACAGGAGCCATACACTTTGTAAAAACCTAGGTGCAGTAGCCAGTCCGAATGGTAGCACCGTGAATTCGTACACTTCAGACACAACAGCAAAACGGAGGAAACACCTATGACACGGATGGATCGAAATGTGGAAACAGGTATCCCTCAAGTCCAATGAGGCGAACCAGTCCTCTCTCCTCAGCAACGGTAAGATATTTTGAAGGGTGGTCATCCTGAATTTTTGTGGGGTGATGAACTTATTGACACCTATTAAGTCAAGCATAGGTCGAAGACCACCGTCCCGCTTCAGAACTGTAAAATATCTCAAGTAGAATCTGTGAAGTCCTTCCGTTCGAGCTAACTAACGAATCGCTCCTTTACGAAGAAGCTGTTGAACTTCGCCAATCAGTACCGGCGAGGCTGGGGTGAACCGATGGTACCACTCGCCGGATCTCCTCTCAGACGATCTACTTCTGCGGCTTCCAGGAGGAGACATCCCCATCACAGCATCCAGTCCAGCTGAGGGCATAGGCATGGGGGACCTAGCCCTAGGAGGGGAATCCCGAATCTCCCAGTTGGAGTTGGACTCCCTAAGTGGAGTATGGATGGATTCTGATGCCGGTTCCACAACTCGACGAGGGGGCCCGGGGGCCCGGGGGGGGTGACCCTCATAGCCTCCTGGAGCGTCTGGCCCAGTGGTGTCGGTACCATGATAGCCGTCGGGACTGAGGGGACCGACGAACCTGAGTCTTGGTGCTTAGAGCGCTCCGGGTCCTTAGGCTTCCAAGGAGGCTTTCCCGCCTTATCCTTCTTAGGTTTTTGCACTCAGACGGCTTATTGGAGCCGCTGTGCCTCCGCTTCTCACTTTTCTTCCTTGGTGTGGAAGCAGGCTGATCGCCCAGAGCAGACGCAGTTTCATCAGAAGGGCGTGAGGGCAGAGACTTGGAGGAAGCCAGCGCAGCAGGCGGGGCCGTACGGGTAGCCGCAGCCACGGGCGGAGCAGGGCGGGAGACTAGTGGGTCCAATTGTAGGAGTGCACAGTCCCACAGAAGTCTCCTGAGACGGTTCTCCCGATTCTTCCTGGCCTGTTTCGAGAAGGCCAGGCAGTGCGAGCATTTGTTTGTCCTATGCCCTTCCCCCAAGCAGAGGAGGCATAGGTCATGCGGGTCCGCAGGGGACATTTTAGACCCTCATTCCACGCACTTGCGGAAGGCCGCTTGTTGCGCCATCGTTAGAAAAGAAAAAGAGCAGATAGTGCAGAGGGTAAGAATATATTTTTGGGTTTTTTTATAGAAGAGAAAAGAGTGAGAATGAAGGAATAACAAGAGAATAACAAGAGAACAACAAGAACTATCGAAAGGGGTTTGTAACTTGGAGAAGAACAAACGGACTGGTTAGATAAAGGAGGGATGGTCAAAGCGAGAGCGAAAGCAGCACGAGGCACAATGAACGGCGGTCGCAAAGACTGAACAAAATGGTGGATGCTCCGCTCTATATAGGCTATGAGCTTCCCACCAAAAAAACCGTTAGCTATCAATCTTCTGGCCAAAGGCACGGCACAGGCGCAGCACCCATATGTGTGATGCACAAAGGCCACGACGAAGAACAGGGTGCCTCTCTTGATAAATGCAGTGTAAAAGGAATCTAGATTTGGGTTACTGGGTAGTAATGACAATTGGGATTTACAGCATCTTTTTGTTATAAAGCTTTTAACTGTAAATGAGTTTAGACATATCTCCCTGGTCTTTCAGAGTATGAGAGACTTTTGGGCAGGCTTTAGTCCTGCCATGTGTAGTGTCTTTGAAATAGCAAAAATGCTCTCGTATACCAGAATAAAAGGCCATGAGTAAACCTGTTATTTACTTGTACTATCCTGACTATAAAACATACCAGAAGCATTTGAATGCAAGGGAGTTCATTAATCTTATCCTGCCTTCACTAATAATTCTAGGGCTTGCAGCATATGGAACACTTTTGCATCCAAGTTATTTGAGTGGAATGAGATATCATTTCCGCACCCCCACCACATTCCACTGCTTTAGTCTTACCTGTCCAATGGGATGTAGGAATTTATAATGGATCCGGCCATTGCTTTGGTGCTTGCATTGTCACTAACTGTACCTAAACTAACAGTGCCTGATTCTCCACTCAAACTGCATCTCTCCTTCTGAACATCTGCTTGGACTTCCAACCTTTGGGAGACATTCAATAATAGTTGAATAATTAGCTTTCAGTTTTCATATCACTTTGGAATTCAAAACTTTTAAAAGTTTACCAACTGTTCAATGTCATACAAATAACAGATTTGAGGGCTTCATTCCTTTTGTTCCTACTTCTACAGCAAGATGATACACTCAACCCCTATAAAAGACTCTAAAATGCCTCCCACTTAATGTGAAGATTATTCAAAACAGAGGACCATGAAAAAATGCCAGGGTTATACATCTTTTCCCTCCCATGACCAAAAAATGATAAAACTTTCCATTACAGGTAGTACTGTGAAGTCTTGCTTTATACAAAAGTTCAGACAGTTTTTCTTGCATTCCCTCACATTTTACATTATTCACTACAACTGAGAGCCACAGAAATCAGAGTTCACCTTTAATTCAAGTAAATGCTGTAAGTGTTTTTACACTGTACATTCACAAATTCATGATCCAATGACATATATTGTAGCATCAAAATGTACAACATGCAGGTACATGACGGCAGAAGTTCATACTCTCAGTGCTAAATGCAGCCTTTATACAAAACCAAAAGTCAGAGCCAAATGCTAGGAATAGGTTATCTTACCTGTTAAAGCAGTTGACCATTGCACTTCCTGACAGACTCCCTGTTATGCTAGCTCCAGCCAAGGCCATAGTGCTGGCTGTTTCACTCAGGTTGTCCCGAATGGCTCCTATCCTGTCCATGTGGCTGCCACTTGCACTCAGGCTTCCTGTCAATCCTCCAACACTTTCTTCTCCTATGCTAGGATTATGACGTGCCTCTGCCACTGATGTAGTATCTAAATATGAAAAGGGGTGGAATTAATAGGAAAACATGTTCACATTCTTCACATTCTTCAGTGCAGAGGACATTGCTCTTGGAGAAGCTGCAGTGATAAACAGTGACTACATTAGGACTGGTTTTTCATCAGCCTGAAGACCTCCAGGGCAGGATGTTAGCCCCAAACTGATATAACTGGAAGGACTGCAGGGCTGAGAGCATGCACTCATCTAGTGACTCATGGCAAGACTCTGAAAAGAGGATGAAACAGTCCCCAGCTGCATAAGAAGGAACTGGTAAGTTCTTACTCCCAGGCTTCTTACATTGTTCCTTGAAAAGAAAAAGGGAGAGACTGAGAACAACATTATGCCCAGAACGCATGGTCTCTGCTATTCTGAGATTAATGCTGGGAGGGAGCAAAGATGACCCTCCAGATATGAGTGACAAATAAGACTGAGGAACAGATAAACAGCTAGATTTGTTTTAGCACTTTTACATTTAAGATTTCCATACCACCTTTCTAAAGTATGCACTGAAAACCAACACAGAGAACATCACAAGACAAGCAGCAGCAATATATTGATTAGCAGACAAGCAACAGAAAAGTGGAAGTAATGATGGACAATTGAGGCCAGAATGGAACACTGAGCAGAGCTACTGACAGCTGGAGAAATTGGCAAAGGAAGCAGCAAGAATTCTGAGAAATGTCCTACAACTTTCCTTACTTTTCTCAGTCTAAATATGCATAAGATTGCACCCTTAGTTATGTTAGTCAGTGAACAGAACCAGGGACTAACAGTGAATGAAGAGAAAGAAAGAGAAATTACTGAAAGCAGAGGTGTGGCATTAAATTTTTAGAATCATTAGTAACATCATTTAGCAGTTACTATTTGTTCTGAACATTGACCTTTTAGGTAAACTTATATTTTTAAAAACCTATGTTCTGATGTTTTGGAAAAGTCCTGGGAAAAGTATGGCCTCTAGGGGGCAGGACCTTATAAGGAACATCTAGATGTGTCATAAGTAAAGATACATTGTTATGAGCAAGAAGTATTACCTAACAATTTCCCTTCTGGAGTCAGGAATGCAGAGTCATGGAAATATTTTGCAGATTGAGAAAGCATTAACAGAGAAGGGGCACATCAATTAGACTTCATTTAAGGCTTCTGCTAAATTATAGATGCAATCCTATACAAGTTTAGGCAAAAGCCGTTTTTTTTCTAAATTTGCATGGAACTGCACTCTAAATTACTTCATTGAGCACAGAACATAGCCATCTATCTTCTGACAAAGAATCATCCTAGCACATAGAACATTTTGGGCAGGGAAGAAAAATAATTTCATGTCTAAAGATTATCTCAAATTGCAAACATGCAAGACTCACATCTGTGCATGCACACTATGCAGCCCACATGCTTATAACTGGCAGCTCCAGGAGCCACCAAATAGTATTTTTTAAAAAAATCAAGTAACCCCCTCTTACCTACTGCTGCATTTGTTCCACCAACAGTTATGTCATTTTCATCATCAAATTCTATTCTGACACCCTTTCCATTGCCAGCAGATACACCACAACCTCCACTTCGACAGAGAGAGATGGGAACTACCCCATACACATAGGCCAACATGATAGGCACACCTATTCCTGCAGAGAAAATAAAGGATACTAGAATCACTGCAATCTGAGCATGTAAGTCTTGTTTTATAATCACTGCATATTTCCTAGTTATAAAAAGTGATAGGCTTTATATACTTGACAAAGCAATATACCATGAATTTAAAAAGGACACTTGCATTAATCATGCAAATTCTTCCTGAGCCCAGCAGCTCCTATTAGACACGAAAATCCTCTGCTTATGATGCCTTCTCCATTCACTTAAATTAAGGAAGCCAGTCTACAAATATACTACTTTGTAGATATGGGTCTGGTTCTTTCACTTACATTAATGGGACTGTACATCCAGGAAGCCTGTATACAAATTTGAGCACACAGATACCTTGAACTGAGACTTTGGTTTTGCAAAACTACTTTTGGGAAAAAATAGGACAAGAACCAGGAAGAGGAATTATGCTTCAGCTCTCAAATTATACAACTAGTCATGCATCCTTAATAAAATTAGATTTAATGCCAGAACTCTGACTGGTAGCAATATTCATAATACATTTTGTGCCTTCTCAATTCAATATAGTAGGTTATTCAGAGAGAAAAAAAATCCTGACCTAATTTACCATCAATTGTACTTACCTACAGTGACTGCAGCTACAACTGGTGAAACAATAACAGATAATGTTACACCACCTGCAATGGCTAAATTTCTCTTATGTTTTGAAATGTCCTTGCCCTCATAGCGATTGTGAATCTAAACAAGGAAGACAAAATTATATTTTAGAGCACAAAATAGCTAAAGTGTTCCCTAAAACAGATATATATATCCTCTTCCATTTTAAGTGAGTACTTTCAAAAGATCTTTGATAAGACACTAAACATGAAAAAGTCCCCAAAATGAAGGCTCTCATACTTCCATCTGGCTTATATGTGAAGAATCTTTTGAGATGTTTGGAAGCCTGCAGTTCATGGCAGGTTAACATGTAAACATTATTTTTACAATCTGCTTGTTTCAACCCCTCCTCTCGAGTTTCTCATATATTCTGCAAAACTGCCCTGGCTAACTGTCACCCATCCTACCTAAAAAAGTGGTTTTATTCCGCCAATTATTTCCAACACACTAAAATGTTGAATACATTTAATTCAAATTTAAGTCAAATTAATACATTTAATTCAGTTAACTGGAACCACCTTTCTCATCCTCACTCTTCTTTACCCACTGTCACTGACTGTTAAGCCTAGTAAGTGTAAGTTACATCATAGCTAAAAAGTGTGTACACAGTCACAGATCAAGATTGCCTAAAAACTTGCGGAAGAACTAACTATACAAAGTTTCAACAAAAGGGCCACAGACAGCTACTGTATCAAGAGAATCTCTGCAAAAAGCAGTACTTTTTTAGAGTGACAATACTTGGAACTTCTGTCAATAGCCTGCAGTAGCACTGGCAAGAAGAAAATGGTGTGATAGGCAGCAATCTTAGATGATGTCTGAAAGCCATGGGCTATTTTGGACTCCCAGATCCGGGAGACAGTGCTCCTACAGCAGAGCTGAGAATCAGAGCTTCCCTTCTTTACTGCTAAAGAAAAAACTACACTGGCTGACTCTCCAAGGTCAGGATAGGGAGCTTGGAGAGGGGATAAAAGAAGGCCTTTCAGTGGGAGGGGAGGAGACTAGATATGCCAGGATACAAACTATCCTGATGCCTTTCAGCCTCCTTCCCTCCATTTCTGAAAAGCTCTAGCCAAGTGAGCAGACAAGTCCATCTAAAATAAATGCAGACCATCCCTGCCACTCTTCCCATGATGCAAGTCTTGGTGTGCAAGGTCGTATGGGAATTAGCATAGAACTACACTGCTACTCAATTTCTCCCCTTCAATGTTGCAGTAGATAGAAACACCACACATGCATTAAGGGGAGAAAATACAGCAGTCCCTTGAAATTCACGGCGGTTGCATTCCTAGAGCACCCGCAAATTGTGAAAAACTGTGAATTTTGAATGTGATAAAGGTTCATTGCCAGAAGCCTTAGAACAGGGGTCCTCAAACTTTTTGGGAGGCCAGTTGAAAGGTGCCAGCGATGGGTGCAGGCCACCAAGGTGGTCTGGGCGGGGGGTGTGGGCTGGGCCGGGCTGGGCAGTGGGTGCGTGCGTGTGGCGAGGCAGGGGCAGGCATGCACAGAGATTGTTTGCTCTGAGTGAGTCCAAACCAATCTTGTGACCAATGCTTGCTCACAAGGAGACTGGTCTGAACTCGCTTAGAGAAAACAATCTCTTTACGAGCAAGCCACCGCATGGCAAGGAAAATTCCATGAAAGACTGAGGCCACGAACGTTGAACTGCAACTTCATGGGGGTATACTGTATTATCAAAAAGAAATCATGGTTCAGCAAAAAGAAATACATTTTCACAAGATATGCAATAAAGAGATATTTTTACTTCTCATTTATTTTTATTTTTGAGATGCTTTGTCCTGCTTCTCAGCAAAGCTCCCAAAGCTGCCTACAAATAATAGCCCTAATAATAGCCCTTTAAAACTTGCCTGAACACATATTATACAATATAAACAAACAGCAACAGCAGAACTCAAAAAAAAAACAAACCAGCAGTGCATTGTTATTACAGACCCAGCAACAAATCAAGGCAAATCAAGAAGACAGAAAAGCCTTTTTCACCATCCTTAAGAATGGCAATGTGCTGGCATTATAAACCTCTGTGGGTGTGGAGTTGCAGAGGTTCAGAGCCATTAAAAAACATCCAGCCCTAATCATCACCAGGCACATGGTGTTAGGACATCAAACAGAACTTCTTCAGATTATCTTGATTTTAGGGAACTGAATGAAGCATGTCATTGATGTCTTTAAAGGTCAGAACCTGAATTTTAAATTGTGTTTGGAAAGTAAACTGATGTACAGGCCAGAGCAGGACAATATATTTTGGCTTGGTTTTCTTAACGATCTGGGCCTCCACACTCAAGCTTTAATCTGCTAGAGCAAGGAAAGATCAACACTGGAAGAAAAAGTACGTATATCTATGAAGAAAACAGAATTGTAGGACAGGGTGTATTTGTAGAAAAGCCCTCATCAAATACAACATATTGCAAGATATGGACCAGTGTAAGCAGTATGGTCTAATGGTTTAATGTTGGACTGGAATTCAGGAGATCCAGGTTCTAGTTGCCATTTGGTCATGAAATGCACTGGGTAACTTTGGGCCAGGCATTGATTCTCAGCCCAACCTACCTCACAGGTTTGTTATGAGGATAAAATGGTGCAGGAATGTGTTTACTGACTTGGGTTCCTTGCAAGGGGGAGAAAACAAGGGATATAAATGGAATAAATATATATATATTAACTGCATGAACAGTAATAGTGTTTTAGAGCAGTGTTTTTCAACTGTCAGTCTGCGGACCGGCACTGCTCTGCCAGCATTTCCTGGAGGTCTGTGAAAGAGCTGCTGCCGTGCGTGTGCATGACAGCGGCATCTCACTCACCAGGTGGACCAGCATGGGGGCTAGTTGTGCTCTTGGCTGCTGATTCCCCGATTCCCTACCTCTTCCTCAGCTGAGGAGGCTGGAGGGGAGAGGCAGCTCAGTAGGAGCCCAACTGAGAGCCACGCAGTGCCTGGTCTGCCCTCTGGTTGGAGACCCAAAGACCAGGCCTTTTCCTTTCTCTGCTGTGTTTTCTACTGGGAAAGGAAATGTGCTGAGATTGTGGGATTATGCCGAGAGTGTTTTCTCAGCCAGTCTGTGCTGGTGTGTATGGGGGTTTGAGTGGGTGGGATTTATTCTATTTCATTGTTTAATATTATGAATATATTATTAAGTAACCTTCTTTGATTTTGTATTGCTCTGCTGTTGATATTGTATTTGAATTTGTATTTGCTCTGAGTATAGTATTGAATTTATATTGATTTTGTATTTTGCTATTGTAAGTTTTTAATCAAGTATTTCTTGAAAAGCAACAGCAGATTTCGCAGTAGCCTTATCTGAATTACATATTGCTTTCTAAAAATTTCAGTTGTATTCAATTACATTTAATTTCAATATTTTTACTGCTCAGTTTCTTGTTATTTTGGAAAATTTTGTTTTTTTGTACTATATGGAAAAGCTAATACAGTGGTACCTCAGCTCATGAACCCCTCAGTTCACGACCAAATTGGGTCGTGAACAGAAATTCCAGAAAAATTTTGCCTCAGGTGGCGAACTCTGCATTGGGTGACGATCACAATCGCGCCAGTCTTCCCTGCACATGTGCAACCATGATTACGCCTCGGGGGGGGAGGGGGGCATGGCCACGATCGTGCTTGGGGATTGTGCTGGGGTGGGGGGTGGGGAGATGGCTGCAATCTTTGTTGTTGTCACTTTGCTTCAATTTTTGTGATTAAAAAAAATAGTCACAGAACGGATTAACCTTATTTACATTGACCCTTATGGGGAAATTTGACTTGGCTCACGACCAATTTGGGTCACAACCAGAGTCATGGAACAGATTAAGTTCATGAGCCAAGGTACTATTGCACACAAAATACTATATTATGTATATGCTGCTTTTTATTTCTGCCTCAGTGGTTCCCCAAATAATTTTCTTATTTTTGCTGGTCCCCAACTGTAGAAAGGTTGAAAACCACTGTTTTAGAGCATCTGATAAGTGCCTAATTAAAGAGATTAAATGTTAATATTACTACAGCAACCTTACCTTACGTCCCACATATACAGGGATTCCGATAATCATAGCTGGAATAGCAATGCCTGCTATTAAGGCAATTCCTACTGGTGCACCCACAAGTGTTCCCAGCTGCCACAATATCTTCTTCTTTCGACTCCATGGTTTTTTACCCCAGAATGTACAACCTGATGGACTACCAAAAAAAAGTTTTCCTATAAGTAAGGCCAACCAATGACTTAAGTGAACAGTCCCAAGAAACCATCAAACTTAGCCAAAGTCTTCTCTAACAAAGATGAGCATGTGACCCTTAGTAATCCATATACTAATGTTTAAAAATCCAACTTGATAAATCTGGAATCACAAAAAGGAGAGCACTTCCTGAAGTAAACACCCATGCAAAAGAGAACCCTCACTTGTCTAA